ATAACAAATGCAACACCCCGTTCTAGAACCAGTTTGTTAACATCGCATTATGATATTAAGCGCAGTTACAATCACATTGGGTCAATTAGAAATCCGAGTAAATTTTTCTTTTCAATCAAGTCAAATTTCAAATAACCAATTGCGTGACCATAACCATATTACTTTGCGGAATAATTAAACTAAGCTTAACATCATATTCTCATTTTATTAGACCACACGTCGTTAAATGTCTACATCTATTTTGTTATCAATTAATTCTATACTACCTTTATAGTTCTCACCTCCTACTATGTTATATATCTCCCTTTTAGCTTCGAGTAGGTTCAAACCGCGCTCAAATCGGAGCTCTGTAGTTCAAGTTATTCTAATTTTACTAAACTATGTTCTTGTTGTTTTCGGGATAAGCGTTTTAGCGCCCAACTTGAACGTTTTAGCGCCCAAAGGCATAAAGTTTAGCCTTCTGCAGGTCTCCAGAGCGTCTTAGCGCCCAACTTGAGCGTTTTAGCGCCCAAGGGCAGAAAGTTTAGCCTTCTGCAGGTCTCCAGAGCGTGTTAGCGCCCAACTTGAGCGTTTTAGCGCCCAAGGGCAGAAACTGGGCAAAACATGCCCTCCCCTGTTTTCATATGACTTCATAGGATATTTCCTCCCACTTTCACCACTTTCTTAACACCTAATAGACATTATACAACTTTAGTACACGATTCTTTCAAGGTACTCATTTATCATAGAAACACGCATACCCTTTCATCGTATACATATACCCAACAATTACAACATTACATCATTTCAACATGTCTTAATTACAAATCATGGGACTTAGCTACAAAACACTATGATCAACCCCTTGGCTCTCATCAACAAAAGAGGTATCAAAAGAGATGAGCATAGGCTAAGTCCATCAAATAGAAGATGACATACATATAGCAATTGGCTTTCAAATGCAAATCCTATACATGGTACTACTACATGTCATGTATAATCCAAAAGAATGCAACATCTTCATGCATCTACTAATCCAAATATGACCACTTGCCACCGGAGGCTCCTGCAGCATCTTTACCTGAAAGGGGGTCCCCACAACATGGGGTGAGATATACGAATATATCACAGTAAATCAGGGGTCCTTGGAGCATCTCTCCACCCCATAGTTCAATCACAGTGTAATAACAATAACAATAATAATGCAATAAATACATATCCATGCAGTGTGTAAACAACATCTCTAGGAGAAATCCCTCGAGCTCTCAAGCCGTCCTAAGGATACTCAGATGCAAATAGTCCTACTGGCCAGCTAAACTACCAAGTATGATTTACGCATCGTCATGCAACATACCAACATAGGGAAACACCATCTTATGCCACACCAAAGCATACACATACGTATAACAAAGCATTAAACTATTTCATTGCATTTATATACACTATCACTACCACTACCCAATCAGGGCTTGGTGGAACAATCAAGGGAATTACACCCAAGGTCTGAAGGCTTATCTCAAAGCTTCCGTTCAACCTTTGTTCACCACCAACAGGTTCTACAACCAGTCAACTTTGATTTCAATTTTAACTTGCCGAGTACACACCTACATCAAGGTGTCACAGCATCAATCATGCAATCCAATGAATATTTAGATATCCATCAATACCATAACAACTCTACATTATAACTTAACATGAGCTTACCTATTCCAAAGAGCTAATCAAGCTCCATAGTTTGCTCCGATGGTTGATCACTCACGGTTGGTCCAAATGCCTCAATCCTAGACATCACATGGACACACTTATTATTCAACCCAACCATTGATCATAATGGCAAGAAAACCCACAATCAAGTATCATATTCTTGCAATTTTCAAAGTGTAGTCATATAACTATCTAAGCTCATTTTCACCAACTATATGTCATTCCTAGCATTTTTCATAACATACACTAAGTCTCAATCCTCCTAGACCATAGTCAATTTACTCACATTTTTATATAATCCTAAAACACTATTCATCAAAACTTAAACCATGCAAAATTCAAGGAATTTGTGTGAAAGAGAGTGGAAAACTCACCACAATGGATCACACAACAAGGGATGGTTGTTCCTCAAGCTTCCATGGAGGTAAAAGCCAACAACTCCCTCACTTTTTCCTAAGGTTCGAATTTTTGGAGGTTGAAATCTCACTCCACAAAGACTCCCACTCAAAACCAAGCTTTGATTGTGAAAGAGGGGAAGATTTGGAGTGGTTTAGGCTTTGGAATGGATGAATTTGGCTAAGGTTTGCTCAACCTAGGGTTTCCCCCCTTCCTTTCTCTTCTCCTTCTCTTCTTCTCCTATCTTCCTTCCTTTCTTTCTCTCTTCTGGCGCACGACGGGTTGGGGAAGGGATTTGGGTTCTTTTTTGTGTTGTATAGTCACTTAACATAAGTTAAGTGAGATCAAGTGGGTATTGGTTCATCTATCTATTTAACTCCATTAATTACCAAACTTTACCGAAATGTCTGGAATATTTTTCTAGGAATATTTCCACTTTTATGTTTATATTTTGGGTACTTTTGTATACACCCATTTACACCCCTTAATTTTCACTGAGTACACTTTTTACCCCAAAAGTGACCCAAATTCACTTAATTAGGTCCTATATGTAATTTTACTCACCATTACATGCTTAATTATTCAATCACATTTAATTTACTAATTAATTAGGTTAGGGATATTATAACAAATCTCAATAAGCTCCAAGTTTATAGGGAATTCTCCATACCCCTGGGCTCATTCCTGCATGAGAGTCAGATACAAAGTATACAAAGTAACATATAACAAATATCATCACTAATCAAAACATATATACATATTTATCACAGGCGTACGTAGTCCTTTCCAAGTGAGGACCCCAAGCGAAAATCAACGCACGTGTTCCCAAGGGAGGACCCCAAGCGGAATCAGACATATCAGAGGCATACATCGTCAGTCCCGAGGGAGGACCCCAAGCAGACATTAGTGTACAATACAATCAATGGCCAAAGATCAATACAGAAATCACATCAGAACAAATCATATCATGTTATCAAATAGCTCTATATGAATGCACCTATACAAATCATCAAAAACAATCATACAATCCAACCATAGTTCACTAACAATGGTGGAGCACTCAAGCAGGAAAAGACTCCTTAAACATAGAGTTTACCTCTTGAAGCTTTACTAGTTCGCTTACTTGTCACACAAGTTACTTATATAGCTCCAACAGGATCCAAACCCTTTCAGTCCCTAGGCACACCTAGAGAAAGAATCCAAAACAAAAAACAATAAAATGATACCATGTCGTGATCTTTACATAAGACATGCATTTTATCGCTTACTTTCGTTTCTTTATATTTTTGTCAATCCTATGCCAATACACAAGTCAAGACCATAATTTTCCAATTTCTTTATTTGACCATTTTAAGGATGATCACATGAACCACAAGTACCTTCATGGTTTCCTACTCACATAGGGTCCTACACTAACCCCACCAAGCTTCTAAAATGTCATTTATAATTTTTAACAATTCCAAGCCCCCCACAAGCCTAAATGGCTGAATCCAAGACCTAAGGAAGGCTAGAATTTGCATCAATTTACTCAACACAACCAATGGTTCCTAGAACCCACACACGGTCCCTTCGTTAACCATGTCATTTTTCTCCATGAGGTCGTGGGTGCACCTACAGAGAACCAATACATTTTTCATAATTTCTCAAGTCATTTAACTTTATAATCTTACCAATTACAAGCATTGGAAATTCAACACATTATCAAAACAAAATGTAACCTAATCCATCCCTAAATTACCCTATAAGCCAAATTTATAAGGAAAAGTCAAGGGTTTTATTTCTTTTACAATTCCTTTTCTCCACTTGATTTCCAACTTGCACATACACATATCTATACAATATGTCCAATTAAATTTTGAACATCAAACCCTTCAATAGTACATTATGGTCGAAACATAGGGTACAACACCATAGCATTTTTTTTCACTTTGGTATTTTCATTTTCACACTTAAATCTCCACTTACACCAACATACCACCTTCACAATTCATGCAATTAAATTTTTGCACAATGAACCCTAATTCACCTATCATGACCGAACCTAGGGAGGGAGGTGAAATGAGATTTTTCAATTTTCCAACACATGTTAATGTTTAATTCACATTATAACTTCCTAAACAACACAAACTCATCATCAATTTCAAATTTCAAACTCAATTATTTTTCACCAAAACATGCTTCAAACTTTCAAGACTTAAATCATAAAATCAAACCATGGAAATAGAGATTTCTTACCTCCAATAGCTTATCCAAGGTTCAAAGAACAAAACCCAAGCTTTTCTCACTCAAAATCCACACTTTTTCATTTGGGTGAATAGTACCTCGAATTGGGGATGAGGAAGAACTCTCTCCACAAGCAATTTTAGCTCAAAATAAGGGGTGGAACGGATTCATTGGATGATTTTCTATTGATTTCATGTAATGGACTTTGTCATTTAGATGATTGTGTGATGAGAAATCAAAGAAAAAAAAATGAAAACCTAAGCTATTTCAATGGAAAGTGGAGACAGAGGCAACACGTACGAGGAAGAAGAAATGAGGAGGGGTGTCACAGTTTCTTAAGTTAAATATGTTAAGTTACTTTAACTCAATAATCACTTATCTATCTACATACCTTCATTCAATACCAAACTTTACCCGATAAACTAGAATATTTTTCCAGTCATATTTTTAACTTTACTTTCACTTTTCGAGTAATTTTATTTACCAGTATTTTTACTCCTTAACTGTCATTTTAACTCTTTTTTCACCAAATGTGACTTTATTTTTTTTACTTCAAATTATTCTTCAATATTAAAAATTTGCTTCGGAAGCTCACACCTGGAGTCTTATTTAAATATTATAATTTTTTTTTTGATAAAAATGGAAGGCCAAGCCCAATGAAAACTAAACAGTCAAACGCTACAAACAAACATGCTATCAACAAATTGGAGCTAAATTCTAACCAAAAAGTCAACATATCATCGGGGGGAGAGGAGTGTAACATTAAATATTATAATTTGATGACCATGATATTACTCTTTTTTGGTCGGACAATAGTATGCTCAGTAGACCTTTATTCTGAGCACACGAGTCAAGAAGCCTTTTCCAAGTACTCTCTCAAACTGTGAATAACCCAAGTAAAACCCAGAAGGAGTGCTTTAAACCATACAGTTCGCATTCAGTGATTGATTGGATATTGTCACACACTATCATCTCCCACCATAAACTTCCCCCCAAAATAGCATCGTTGGCATAAAGCTCGCAACCACCAGAATCTATATTATTGTCCGAACTCTGTATCATCCAAGATTTACAATTTATTTGAAGCCGCTCCATAACACTATGATTCTAGTCGCTAAAGGAAACCATCGCGACAACTCAAATAAATTAGAATGTTACATGAAGTTTGGTGTGTAAATGCTTGCACTGGCATCCGGTCGGTTGGCCTTAAAGCATCTGGCATCTGGTCTATCACTAGTTAGAGAGCCTTAAAGCATCTGGTACCTCATTCTCTATTAATGAAAAAGACATCCATACAAAGTTCCAACAATCTTAACGATTTCGGTATTGTCAGCACTGGCTTTGAATTGTTTACTCAGAGCTCCAAGTTTGCTATCTGCCATGGATGTCTGTAATACTGACATTGTTGATGGAATGCAATCTAAGGCTTTCATCAGAGGATAGTGAACTAAGCATATTCTGCCTCAGGATGAAGGCAGGTTGCCTTGGAGGAGGAAGATCCACAATCTCACTGTTAAGCATAGAAATTACTGCAGCCATATTGGGCCTGTCTGTTGCAAATTCTTGTACACACAAAAGTCCTATGTGTATGCACCTCATAATTTTCTTTTCAAGGCTAGGATCATATATTCCTGGATCTACTAAAGATAAAACATTTTCTTCCTTCCATTGTATCCAGACCTAAAAATGAAACAAAAATCAATTAGTTTGAAGTTTTATCAGAAAAAAGAGTACAAAACTTCCATAATTATGCCAGGGATGAATTTTAGAGACTTACAAGTCCCAAGAGGGTAAGAGAATTTTCATTGTCATAAAAGCTTGAGTTTCGTCTTCCACAAACAATCTCCAGTAGCAAAACTCCAAAGCTAAAGACATCTGATTTTTCAGAAAACTGTCCTTGCATTGCATATTCAGGAGACATATAGCCACTGCATTGAAATGCAACACAATTTGATATTCAAGTATGCTATTATAATGTGGACAAAGAAGGTGTACTTACTAGGTTCCCACAACCCTTTGGGTATTGGCTTGATCTTCACTCCCTCCAAAGATTCTTGCCATACCAAAGTCTGATATTTTTGGATTTAGTTCCTCATCTAGCAAGATATTACTTGCCTTCAAATCTCTATGTATGATTTTTAGCCTTGAATCTCTATGAAGATAAAGCAACCCTCTAGCTATTCCTTCTATTATGCTAAAGCGCTTTCTCCAATCTAGGAGTTCATTTTTTGATGGATCTGCAAAAGTAAAAACCAGAAGATAGCCTATTATTTTGAACTTGTGCTTTCTAGCAAGCCCATATTAGAATGCTTTCAAGAAAAATCACTAACTGTGAAACCATGGATCATAGTTTAGGAAAAGAAAATTATATATGATTAATAAAGTAATACATGAAAGCTTTGATCTGCATATGAGACAGATACAAAAGGGCCATCAAAAGAACTAACCAAACACATATGCATCCAAACTTCTATTTGGCATGTACTCATATATCAGCATCTTTTCTTCTCCTTCAATACAGCAGCCAAGAAGTTTTACAAGATTGCGGTGTTGAAGTTTAGAAATTACCAAAACTTCATTCATGAATTCTTCTAGACCTTGTCCAGATGCTCTGGAAAGTCTTTTAACTGCTATTTCCTTACCATCTTGCAGTTTCCCCTGCAATATAATATCATTAAACAGAAACCATAAACAATGACTACAAACATGATTAACTTTGCTAGATCTAATATACCTTGTATACTGGACCGAAACCACCCTGGCCAAGTTTGTTGGATGAGTGGAAGTAGTTTGTGGCACTTGCAAGCTTTTCAAAGCTAAATTGTAATAGCTCCTGTAGCTTAGCTTGTGATAATTCTCCAATTACTTTGTCATTTGCGAGTTCTTTAGATTTAGATGTTACACCTTTGTTAAATCGAATAATTGGAGAATTCTTCTTTTTCCTTCTCCAAATGACATACGCACAAGTGAAAATTATGAAAGTTGCTATTACCACTGTAACTATAATGATGACTTTTATGTTTCGCCCTTTGTCTGCAATTCAAGAACATCAATATCAAAAACACATTTTTCCCAAATTAGTTGGGATCGGCAATTCAGGGAACATGAAAATTTAAAATTTATAATTGAAGAATTTATGCCTAAAGAAAATAAATAAGGTCAAGTTAAAGGACTATATCTAAATTTTTGTTCATACCTGGCATACCAAGTTCTGTATTGGCTACACGAATGTATAGATCAGTTCCTCCACTTGGGAATTGTTGAATATCAATTAGATCCCTATTCCAAGACATACAGCCAATTGCATTATCATATGCATATGCAATGCAAGAGCAATTCTCCAAGCACCCGCTTCTGCATGTGTCTTGTGTAACAGATGATGACCCTTGTGCAAAATCAGGAACTTTGATCATCTGCAATGTCAAAAACCCATCTGCTTTATTGCTGTCCACACTTGTGTTTTGATTGTTGGTCCTTTCACATTGCAGAGGTGTGCTTCTAACACATCCATTAGTCCAGTTTTGTCTATTCCATTCCTCTTTGTTTCTTGGCTCAAACCCTATCAAACAGCTACATATTGGCGAACTCTCTGAATTACAGCTTGCAAATGCCCCACATATACCATAAACATCACAATCTGATTGGTGATTAGTCCATGGAACTTGCCATTGCTCATCATACCAATGATTTTCCACCAATTGGCCTTGGGAATTCAAGGTATACATTAAGGGTCCCATCCCATATGCTGTAAAAGATACATCAATGGTTCCATTCCCATCATCTTGAACTTGAAAACCACTAAGATACGAAGTTCCCATGTTTGGTATCCCTAGAAAAAGTTGACCATTCCATGGACCACTGCGCCAGTATGGTTGAGTTCCATTCCAAATGAACACTTCAGGAATCTGTAGGCGTTCAACACTAGCAGAAAAGCTTCCAATGGATGGATCAGAAAGGCTTTTCCATGATGTAAGTTCTAATTTGTCACCTGTTATTTTGTTGCTTCTAATTTTCATACGGGGTAACAAAGTATTTGAGGGATTGTTGAAACTCTCCCATATGGTGTTTCCTGTTGTGTTATCCAGCAAGAGAAGGCTTCCATAATCTGAAAGTTGGAAAGTAGAATTGGATGCAATATTGGACACATTTGATGACCAAACAACCTGTTTCTTCCCATTCAATACCACAAGATTGCCGTCTTCAGATATTGTAACAACCCCAGAAGAATCATTCAGTGGTTGGTTTCTATTAGCCACCCATGTGACAGTGAGGTTGAACTTCCACCAAATTCCTACATAGCGATTTGTAGAGTCAGAGCTGAAGAACCCCAAGGTGAAGTTTCCACCATTGGAGCTAAGAGTTTCAGGGTCCCTGAGGAATTGATGTGATGTGATGCTGTCTTTGGCAATACCTTCAACATCTAAAATATAGCAACTCACGATAATAAAAACATACAACAAATTTTTGCAGCTTTTGAAATCCATTACAGCATGAATTCAATGTATTCAAAACACTATGATAACGATGATGGATTATAGATCTAGTAAATATCTATCTTTTCTTCTACACTGGAATTTAGTAAATAAATTATTTTGTTGCCTTGCTGGGCAATAGAAGAATTATTAAATATTTTTTTTGCTTGAAGCCTCCCCTGGTAGTTACAATACTAACCTGAGAAAAAAAGTGATGTAATTTATACTATTTAAAATTATTCTTTATTGAGAGAATTGTTTATCACAGTGAAGTATTTTCTTATAATATTTATAGATCCTCAGAAAACATAAGGTAGAGTCATTTTTCCCTAAAAGTTAATCTAATTCAAACATATTATTAGTAGTTTTTTTAAAGGAGGTACTCTCTAATCTTACGATATATATAAATTCGATTATACTAAAATTATACTTCTTCATAAAGAAAAAAAAAAATACTTGTTTGGAAAATATATAAAAATTGAATTTTTAGAATCATGTATACTCAGATATATTAAGTTTTATTACATATTAAAAAAAATAAAGAAGCATACAATGGGTATAGCTCATTTAGCAACACAGGCTTAGTAGAGTGAAGAAAGAATCTAAATTCGATTCTTATCAATACATTTTTGGGGAGGGACGAGAAACTTTGATTGTGCCAAAGTTCCGACTAAAAATTAATCTTATAGTTTTGACTTGTCTCAAAGAGATAATTAGACTCTATAGAAAAGTAATAATAAGAAGTTAGGGTTTTTGGTGGTTTGCAAGAATTTTCCAATTCAATCTTCAACCGTAAGCAACTATTTTAAGATAAAATAATTGGTTTTCGAAGTCAAAATAGGTTATTGGCGAAAATTTTAAATAATTTGAAAGAGTTCATAACGTGGAACTTTCATACCATAACTGTAACGGAAAATAAAAATCTAATTTTGCATACGATTAGTTCAAACAGGATTGATGTATAAGAATAAAAAACGCTTCAGAAATATACAACAAAAGTTTTAGAATTGATAAGATAGATTAATTTGGGTTGTTCTAGTCGGCATAAACTTGTCAATACTCGGTGAACTGTTTGCATCGTTGAAAAAAGAAATTATATTTATACATATATATCCAAGCGGAGACTTGCCATGTCCCCCATCTTCCGGGTCCATCACATGGGAATCAAAAACCAAGATTTGTTTTATTCGATATCAATAGGGAGTTACAAGCAAGTAAAATAATTAGAAAAGTGTATGTCATAGAATCAGAGCAGCGTGGATGAAATGGCGCGGTGCATATGGGTTTTTGTGTGACCGCAAAATCTCCCTTAAGTTAAAAGGAAAATTCTATAAAACAGCAGTAAGACCTGCAATGCTATATGGAGCTGAACGCTGACTAGCACATAGGCAACATGAGCATAAAGAGAGAGTAGCAGATATGAGGATGTTAAGGTGGATGTGTGGTTATACGAGAATGGATAAGATAAGAAATGAAGATATTCGACGAAAGGTAGGAGTACTACCGGTGACTGAGAAGATGAGAGAACATAAATTGAGGTGGTTTGGGCACGTAATGAGAAGGCTTCTGGATGCTCCCGTAAGAACAAAAGTTTGTTACCAAGAGCTCAACACAAAAAGAGGTAGAGGTATACTGAAACTTACTTGGGGAAAGGTAGTAAAACAAGATTTAATAATGGAGGGAAGAAAAGCTATAAACATTGTGGAGGGTTAGACCCGTTGCTATTCCTATGTTCCAGATAGTCCCTTTTTAATCCTTTGTTTCCCCTCTTCTTCTTTCCCCTTTCTTTTTTTACTTATATATATATATATATATATATATATATATATATATATATATATATATATATATATATATATAGGGTTTAGGGTTTAGGATTTAGTTAAATCTTACTCTGGAGTCAAATGATCTCTCCCTATATATATATATATTATTACTATTCTATTTATTTATTTTTATTTTTACTTTTATGTTTCTTTTTTCAACTTTTTTGTATCTTTCATTTGAGTTCATCTACCACCGACCCCAATTAATTTGGGATAAAGGTGTTGTTGATGTTAATGTTGATGTTTAGATTCTCTCTTCTTCACAAAATTAGAAGGATAGAAAGAGTGTTGTGCAGAATAAAATAAAATAAAAATATATATACCAAAATACAGTGGTTTCACTTAAAATAATATATAATTATATCCTTTAAGGGATAGGATATACTTACCACTAAAACTTTTTACCACATTTGCAACTAACCTGATTTCCGTTGATTTTCGTCAATCTAATGATTAAAATTTATTGAAAATTATTGGGTCGCATTTATTAATTAATTATTAATTTCCAATAAATCCATATAACCATTTTAATCAGCAAAACTTCAAACATCTCCTTATATTACTCTGCCATGTTATATATATTCCTTGACAAAAGAAAAGGTTATACTTAAAATGTTCCAAGTTCCAACAACCATTTTTTCAATTCAACACGCCTTAATTGGCAGTAACAACAACCTTTAACAAAGCTCTAGTTTGCTATCTGCCACACTGATGTCTGAAACACTAACAGTGTTGAGGGAGTACAATCCATTGCTTTCAACAGAGGACACTGAACTCAACACATTCTGTATGTATGCAGGTTGCTTTGGAGAAGGAAGATCAAGATTCTCATTGTTAAGCATAGAAATTACAGCAGACATACTAGGCCTGTCTGCAGCAAATTCTTGTACACACAAAAGTCCTATGAGTAAGGACCTTAAAATATACTTATGAAGGCTAGGATCATATATTCCTTGATCAATGAGATAGAAAATGTTGTCTTCAGTCCATTGTATCCATGCCTAAAATGACAAAAAACAAGTATCAAACATTTGGAAGTTTTATCATCAAAAGGATACATAACCCCATAAAGGCTCATCATTAGGTTTTCCTCTTTTATCCCACACTGCTGTTCACTGTGCACTGACAGTAGGGCAACATGTCTTGTCTCCTTGACAGGACAAGGCTAGGTGACAACTCTCAATTTTCTCTCTTCTACGCTTAATAGAGGGATCCCTTCTCTAAATACCTCCACTCACACATGGAAAAGGATCATCTTCTTCTCTAAGCAACTCAAGAGTTGTTACTCTGCACATTTGTAGAGCACTCTAATCTGTCACACACACTTCCCCCTTTGATATGCAGCACCATGGGAAGCCTCTACAGTGCTTTAGTCTCTACCATTGCCACTATGAGCACCTCTAAATTGACATATTCTACCCTCCATAGGATACATTTATGAACCACCAACAATTTATTGGCGCCGTACATTGGAAACGATAAACTCCGATTCCCTCTTCTCTACTAAGAGCTATCGAAAAACTTCTCATCTATTTATTTGGCTGCAAAGCCATGCTTCAAGTGTTTTCTAAAAGGTCCGGAACCCACATCTACAAAAAAAACAAAAAGAAAAAGGAAAACCAGACTCAAAAAGACAAGAAACCGAAGAGACACATCCAACACTACCAGTCTACCTGGGTTTCTTTCCCACATGAAGAAAAGTTACTCCCCCAGAACCAGATCAGAATATCAGAACAGGAAGATCAGAGTACCAGATCAGAATACAAGATACCAGAACTGAAAGATCAGAGGCTACCAAAAGAAAATCAAGAAATAAAAAAAATAAAAACCAGCACATTCAGAAGAACATAAGAAAACCAAGGAGATACCAACCGACCAAGTCGCATAATTCCTGAAGATTTCAAGAGCAGCAGCTGTGAACCAACACACCAGCAAACAACTAGAAGGAAAAATCTAAAGCATGAAGTCACGAACACACATACCAACAGACGAAAAAAGGCAGCTGTAGCCAATAAAATCAGCAGCACCTAGCTCAAGCAGCGCCACAATAGCTGAAAGCTCGCCCCAACTCACCCTCTACAGATTAAAATCAACCCTTTACAGATTAGAACACCATGAAGGTCACCTTGTCCTCAACTGTTTGTTGTTTCCAACCGCATCAAGAGCCCCAGTTAACAGATGTGACGGCTATTTTCATCATCAACCAGGACAAGTTCTGAAGTTGAACCATGCTTTGCATCCCACAAATGTTCTTTTTCGGTCAAAAAACACAGAAGGAGCCAACTCAACTCGACACTAATTTCCAATCGGATAATCGACGAGGTTTTCTCCACAAAACAAAACAAAAAATGACAAAAGCAAAATGAAGGGGAGGAGACGAACCGCCAACCATTACTTTCACCAAGGAAGCATGTGCCCTTAGCGGACCCGACCAGAGAATCTTCAACGTTCTACTAAGCATGTGCCCTTAGGTTGACCGTCAGAAGTCGAAACAGAACCGCCAACGCCAAGGGGGCCCATCCCCGATCTGGTTAGCCGGTCACGGAGCATCGGCGACGGCCACAGCTCTCCCCTTAGGCGAAACCCCTACCCAATCACCATTTTCGAGTTTTCCTTTTGCAAATTGGGCTCTTTGAAGAATGGTTTCCTTATAAAATTACTTTCCTTTTCTTCTCGTAATTATTATTTTTTTCTTAGGATTATTTGTTTCTTTTCTTTTTTTTCCTAGGATTATTTTCAATTTTGTACTCTTATGATTTCGGAATGTTGTGCTCTTATGATTTTCTACTCATCTTATCCAATCAAATAAATTATGTTTACTCGTTATTGACTCATTCTTATTTATCGAATAAGTTTACTGAGTCATTCTAATTCAAGGCATTTAATATTATAATACTCAGAGAGATAAATATTCTTATTACTTTTAATAATTTAACTATTATTATTTGTCTTGGGTTATCACAATTTTTCATTAATATAACTTGACGTTACAAAATAACTATTTACATTACCAATTAAATGATAATCAATACTACAAATATTCAAGGTTTTTTGACTCTTTTGTCCCTCATTAATTAATTAATAACCAATTTGTTCCTCATCCAGAATTATCCACAAATCTGCCCTTCTTTAATCGACTAACTTGAAGGTTTAGTCGATTAAATGGTCAAAGTTCAAAAATTGCATTGACACGATATTTAATCGATTAAAAATCTCTTTAATCGATTAAATTTCGGGATTTTTAATCGACTACAACAATTATTTAGTCGATTAAAAGGCGATGGAAATGTTTTTTAAAAAACCCCCCATTTGGCAGGGGGTTTATTGAAACCCTAGTCGATTAAACCCCTTTCTCAAACCCCAAATTAGGATCTCCTCCAGAAGAACAACCCAAACCCCTCCCCCAGGCGTGTGGATTGCACCATAAAAATGCCCTAATTCGTGAAACATGCTAGGTAAGGTTTTGTAACTTGCATTATATTTTATGTTTTTTTTTTTTTCTGTACACATGTTATTTATACACTTTGGTGTTTTGTCTCTGTTTTATGGTAGAATGTTGTTCCTCTTGAGTTTTTCATATTGATTCATGAAGATAAACTTTAGGGATTCGGAGATTTTCACCTTTTTCATGATTTTGCGTTTTTTTTAAAGCACTAAGAGCATAATCATAGTGGTCAGAATTAGAGAGTTGAGGTCTATAATAGGACTAAACTATTCTTGTCCATTTATTTTGTGTGGTTGTGAGTGCAAAGATTTACCTTTCTTGTCTTATGTTTCCACTTTCATTGTAGGTATTTTGTAAAAATGGCGGGCCGCAGAAGACCAAGCAATGCCGAAGGTGAGAGACGCACGAAGCAATGACAAGACCGGCCTTCTTCGTCAAGGCCATAAGATGAAGAGCCTGATATTGTCGACCTCCCATTTGGATACCTGTTTGAGGATGACCACTCGGTTCACGCTGCATTTGTACGTGACCATTTGAACCGGCCCATATGTCTTCCAAAATCATTGGATACACAATTTTTATGGCAGAGGGATTTCATATTGTGGCGGTGTTGGAGGCGACACATCTGAGGGTGTTGGCTGAGATGTTGTGTCCGTATTCAGAGCTGATGGTGCGGGTCTTCTACCATAACCTCTGTAACGCCCGACCACTTGCAAGAATCAATGACTGTCCCTACACACTAACACGAGACTTTTCAGTGTGCTTTGGCCTCACTCGCACACTTCCCGGGAAAACTTCCCAGGAGGTCACCCATCCCAGAATTGCTCCAAGTCAAGCACGCTTAATTGTGGAGTTCTTCCGATCCGGGCTACCGAAAAGTAGATGCATCTAGTTAGTATAGGTAGTACCAATTAATTCTTATAAGCCATTCCTAACTGTACCGTCCCATACCAGCACAGTCTCTGGAATCCCTCTCTTTCGGGTGTTGATTCGATTCATTCATGTACCCCCGTCCCTAGTAGCCTGCCAGGAGCCGCTCCTTGTCCGTGCCCTTGAGCACCGGCGATCACTCCCCGCCCTCGTGCCCGGGATGTTACATGCCCACCAGCTTCCGCCTGGTTCGTCCTCGAACCACACCGTACTGGATGAGAGGCCCTGCTCTGATACCACTTGTAACGCCTGAAAACTTGCAAGAATCAATGACTGTCCCCACACACTAACACGAGACTTTTCAGTGTGCTTTGTCCTCACTCGCACACTTCCCGGGAAAACTTCCCAGGAGCTCACCCATCCCATAATTGCTCCAAGTCAAGCACGCTTAACTGTGGAGTTCTTCCGATCCGGGCTACCGAAAAGTAGATGCATCTTGTTAGTATAGGTAGTACCAATTAATTCTTATAAGCCATTCCTAACTGTACCGTGTAACACCCCGTTCTAGAACCGGTTTGTTAACATCGCATTATGATATTAAGCGCAGTTACAATCACATGGGTTCCATTAAAATCCGGATAAATTTTTCATTTTAAAACGTACCGAACTTATAATACCCAATTTCGTGATCATAACCATATTACCTTGCGGAAACAGATAAATTAAGCTTAACATCATGTTCATTTCCTATTTTTAAACCATTAATTTACTTCTTTTTTAGTTCAATACTTCTACTATATTGTAGGTTTCTTCATTAGCTACCTGTGGCTTCAAACCGCTCCTCATTTGGAGCTCTGTAGCTCAAGTTATGACAATTTTACTAACTCAGGTGTATGCTGAAAACTACGCGGGCAGGGCGCTTAAGCGCTCTCCAGGGCGCTTAAGCGCCCACAGACAGAGGGAATTTACATTTTTTAGCCACCAAGGGCGCTTAAGCTCGCTCCAGGGCGCTTAAGCGCGCTACCTGGGCGCTTAAGCCCCCATTTTGGGCGCTAAAGCCCCAGGCGGCAGAAAGCTTTTGGTCTTCACAGGTGCATCAGGGCGCTTAAGCCCCCTCATGGGCGCTTAAGCCCCCTGAGCAGGCTTAAGCCTCCATTTGCAGGCTTAAGCCCCCTCTTCTGGGCAATTTCCTATACTCATATTTTTCATGCATCTTTCTTGGGGAATCAATCCTACACATTTTACAACCTATTTAACAAGCTTGTGATATCCCTATATCATTGCTTAACTCTCATCCTCTCATCATTGATTTAACAGAAATTGGGCAGCATAACCTTTGTTTTCTCAACGTTTCCCAACTTAGCACAAGGTACCTAATTGACTTTCCAGCTCAACATATCCAATACATAAAAATACATTCATGCATTTAACTTACAGTAAGCATCATACACAAATATCTTCATTACTTACAATATTACATCATGTCTTAATTACAAATCTCATATACATGCCAAAGGACTTAGCTACAAAATGAACATGATCAAAGCAAGTAACCATGTATCAGATACCCATTACTACTACAATGATCATGCACTAAGTCCTCCAAAATACATCATGTGGCATCAAAATATACATATAGCAATGCTAAATGGCATGCAACTCAACATGTCCAGCTATCAGGTACAGTCTACTCATGCTTCTTGCCTCGATCAACCTCACCTCTATCAGTACCTGAAATGATGCCCCACAACACGGGGTGAGATATACGAATATATCACAGTAAACCAGAGGTCCTTGGAGATCACTCCACCCTAAGGTTCACTTTGATGTACACATAATCATAATAGCTTAACACATTCTTATCCACAAGCATCACATGGACTTCCAAGAGAGATCCACTATGGGCTGTTTCTCTTAGGCTCTTACCACATGGAGATCCACATAGGGCTGTTTCCAAGGGAAGTCCTTTCCTCAATCTATTCCAAGAGAGATCCTCAAAGGGCTGTTTCTCTTAGGCTCTTACCACATGGAGATCCACCTAGGGCTGTTTCCAAGGGAAGTCCTTTCCTCAATCTAGGAACCTCCAAGAGGGATCCACATAGGGCTGTTCCTCTTAGGCTCTAACCACATGGAGATCCACATAGGGCTGTTTCCAAGGGAAGTCCTTTCCTCAATCTAGGAACCTCCAAGAGGGATCCACATAGGGCTGTTCCTCTTAGGCTCTAACCACATGGAGATCCACATAGGGCTGTTTCCAAGGGAAGTCCTTTCCTCAATCTAGGAACCTCCAAGAGGGATCCACATAGGGCTGTTCCTCTTAGGCTCTAACCACATGGAGATCCACATAGGGCTGTTTCCAAGGGAAGTTCCTACCAATCATCCTCATCATAATACTATCACTCATAACCTCAATCACAATCCTCAACCATTACCTCATTCATTATTGCTACTTCTATAATCATTCCTCAATTACTCTTAAACAATCAAACATCAACCAATAATCATCAATCAATCATAACATGTATCAATGCATGAATCAATGCATGAGCATACAATCACTATCATAATTACATATCACATCTCATAAACCATTTCTCCTCAACGGAGTATGGTGGAACACTCAATGGGATCAACCACAAGGTCCAAAGGTTTACCTTGCTCTTTGAGCTTTCCTCAATTGCACACAACCCCAAGGGTTGGTCACTCCACTTGGTCCTCTTGCCTCAATCCTATCAACACAAGGAATACAATCAAACAATGCTAACAATGCAAGGAAATCCATAGTTCCAAGCCTAGATTTCTCCAAACATCAAAGCATACTAAAATAACACTATAAACTCATTTCTACCGATTAAATGTCATTCCTAGCATTTTTCACAACATACTCTAAGCCTCATTCTTCCTTGAACATAGCCAATCTACTCAACATTTCATAAAAACCCTAAAACACTATTCATTAACCCTAAACTCATGCAAATCTCCAAGAATCATGTGAAAGAGAGTGGAAACTTACCACCAATGATCACACAATAGAGGAATGAGTGTTCCTCAAGCTTCCATGGAGGTAGAAACCCCCAAAACCCCAAAATCTCACAAAGGGCCGAATTTTTGAGGGGCAATATCTCTCTCCACAATGCTCCCCACTCAAAACTAAGCTTGGATTATGAAAGAGGGGAAGATTTAGAGTGGTTTAGGCTTTTGAATCACAAACGGTTAAGATTTGCTCTCCTAGGTTCTCTCTCTCTCTCTCTCTCTTTCCTCTTCTTCTTCTTCTCCTTCTTCCTTTCCTCTTCTCTGATGCTCGACGAAATGGGGGGGGGTTTGGGTTCTTTTGTGTTTTAGTCACTTAACATTGGTTAAGTGACTTTAATGCGGGTATTGGTTCGTCTATCTATTCAACTCCATTAATTACCAAACTTTACCCAAAAGTCTGGAATATTATTCTAGGAATATTACTAATTTTATTTTTATATTTTGGGTACTTTTGCCAGTACCCATTTATACCCCTTAATTTTCACTGAGTACACTTTTTAACTCCAAAGTGACTCAGATTCATTTAATTAAGCCTTATACTTAATTTTACTCACTAAAACATGCTTAATTATTTAATTAAAATTAATCAATTAAATGCTTAAGTTTGGGGTATTATATTCACCCCACCTTTTTAACGATTTTGTCCTCAAAATCGACAAAACCACTCATTCAATCATCTATGGATTTATCGGAGAACTCTTCTTGTGTTCCCGAAGTTACCCTATTAATCAGTTCCTCTTTTCCTCATCATCTTATCATAAGATGAAATGTTTCATTCATGATTCAATCTATGTTTTATAATTAGGTGATACTAATATGTTCAAGCACTTTTATCTTTCATTTTCCTCAAGGGTCATACCTATTCACTTGATATTTAACCCTGACCTTCTGCGGTCCTACTAATAACCTCATACATAAAATCTCATCTGATGGAACTTCCAAGAGAGATCCGCTATGGGCTGTTTCTCTTAGGTATCTGACCACAAGGAGGTCCCGAAGGCTAACTCCAAGGGAAGTTCCCCTCAATCTAGACCTTTAATGAGAATTCTCTATCTCATAGGATACTATCCTCATGGAGGTAATACCACTACATCCATGGAAAGGTCATTGCATACAATTTACCATCTTTTAGCAATCAATACATAGTCTAGTCTTTAATTACTAGACATAACGAATCACACAATCATAATTGAGTCCACAGTCTAAGCATGTGTGGCTCCAACCTCAATAAACTATGCATGTCATATTAATCTACATGCGTCATACCTCCCGTCAAGCGTGGGAACCTCTCTAGCTGGGGTTGGGTCGAAGTGCTAACATGTGCCGCTGCTGAAGGGTCATAGACCACTTGCACATGAGCAACTCGTCCCACGATCTGGGGACAATCCCTCGCATAGTGACCAGGTCTATCACACTTAAAACATACGTTCTGGCCCATCAAACAAACGCCCTTGTGATGCCTGCCACAATTGTCACACTTTGGCACAATAGGTCTTTCATTGTCCCAACTCTGTTGACTCCCGCTTCTTTTAAACTTTTCTTCAGACTGTCTAGCTTGTAATTTTTCTTTAATATTCCTGTCATCCATCTTCTTACCCTTTTCTGAAGTAGAGCCAGTTGCTCCACTAGCACCAGATGCTTGTGCCTCGGAAGACTTCTTACTTTTCGGCACACCATAACTTCTTCCACCTTCCGGCATTGGTTCACGAATCTACTAAACTCTCGGATGTCACAATTTGACATCTTCCGAGACATCTTCTCATTTAGACCCCATTGAAATTTAGAGGTCATCTCGGCCGGAATGGGTAAGGCTCTCCCATAGTTAGCATATTTCACCAATTCATTGAACTTGGCGAAATATTGGTCAATTGTCATCGACCCTTGCTTGAGATCGTTATACTCATTCTGTTTCTGTTCCCTAGCCTCCCTAGGGAAGTAGTTATCCAAGAACAACGTCTCGAACAACCGCCAGGTGATTTCCCGGCCTTCAGCTTCTAATGGCTGCACGGTATTGGTCCACCAATCTTCCGCTTCCTCTTCCAGCATATAAACAGAGTAGATTAACTTCATTGTGTCAGGGCATCTCATCACCCTGAATATCTTCTCCATAGCTTGGAGCCATTTCGCAGCCGCCATTGGCTCATAACCTCCCTTAAAAGAAGGAGGTTTGTGTTTTCGGAAAGCCATCAATCTTCTTTCTTCAGCTTCATGCTCGTCAACACGCTCAACACGTGGTTGACGGACCTCAGTGTGATGGCTATGACTATCAGAATGGTGGCTAGCCTCACCTTCATTGTTACCCGCTACACCCTCTTCCTGTGAAGGAGGTGGAGAAGGCGTAGCAGTGTGAGGAGGAGGAGTGGGTTGCCGGTTCACGGGCCTAGGACCCCTCAACGTCCTCAACTCGGTCATCATCGCGGCCATAGCAGTCCGCGAGTCTTCATTTGTCTTTAACAAATTTTCATTGGCTTGCCTGCTAGCAGCCAACTCTCTCTGAACGGCTGCAAGAGCTTCAGCCACGGGATCAGGCGGTACGCCCGTTGCCCCACGGCCACTTCTGGGCCTCACAAGAGCAGCCAAAACAGGTTCTGGCTGAGCATTGGTGTTTGATGGTCCGGGGTTGTTTCGGTGCCTCGTCATGTCACTACACATGTTACACAAAGAAGTGAGTTGATCAGGCCCACACTTAGTGATCACAAATGCAATAATCATCAAGAGTACTAAAACAACTATAAAGCATCAAACACTAAGCATACTCAACAATAGCTAACAGTTATTCCCGACGAAACTGCTCTGATACCATAAAATGTAACACCCCGTTCTAGAACCGGTTTGTTAACATCGCATTATGATATTAAGCGCAGTTACAATCACATGGGTTCAATTAAAATCCGGATAAATTTTTCATTTTAAAACATGCCGAATTTATAATACCCAATTGCGTGATCATAACCATATTACCTTGCGGAATCAGATAAACCAAGCTTAACATCATGTTCTTATTCCATTTTTAAACCATTAATTTACTTCTTATTTATTTCCCAACTTCTACTATATTGTAGATCTCTTCGTTAGCTACGCGTGGTTTCAAACCGCTCCTCATTTGGAGCTCTGTAGCTCAAGTTATGACAATTTTACTAACTCAGGTGTATGCTGAAAAACTACGCGGGTAGGGCGCTTAAGCTCGCTCCAGGGCGCTTAAGCGCCCACAGACAGAGGGAATTTACATTTTTTAGCCACCAAGGGCGCTTAAGCTCGCTCCAGGGCGCTTAAGCGCGCTACCTGGGCGCTTAAGCCCCCATTTTGGGCGCTAAAGCCCCAGGCGGCAGAAAGCTTTTGGTCTTCACAGGTGCATCAGGGCGCTTAAGCCCCCTCATGGGCGCTTAAGCCCCCTGAGCAGGCTTAAGCCTCCATTTGCAGGCTTAAGCCCCCTCTTCTGGGCAATTTCCTATACTCATATTTTTCATGCATCTTTCTTGGGGAATCAATCCTACACATTTTACAACCTATTTAACAAGCTTGTGATATCCCTATATCATTGCTTAACTCTCATCCTCTCATCATTGATTTAACAGAAATTGGGCAGCATAACCTTTGTTTTCTCAACGTTTCCCAACTTAGCACAAGGTACCTAATTGACTTTCCAGCTCAACATATCCAATACATAAAAATACATTCATGCATTTAACTTACAGTAAGCATCATACACAAATATCTTCATTACTTACAATATTACATCATGTCTTAATTACAAATCTCATATACATGCCAAAGGACTTAGCTACAAAATGAACATGATCAAAGCAAGTAACCATGTATCAGATACCCATTACTACTACAATGATCATGCACTAAGTCCTCCAAAATACATCATGTGGCATCAAAATATACATATAGCAATGCTAAATGGCATGCAACTCAACATGTCCAGCTATCAGGTACAGTCTACTCACGCTTCTTGCCTCGATCAACCTCACCTCTATCAGTACCTGAAATGATGCCCCACAACACGGGGTGAGATATACGAATATATCACAGTAAACCAGAGGTCCTTGGAGATCACTCCACCCTAAGGTTCACTTTGATGTACACATAATCATAATAGCTTAACACATTCTTATCCACAAGCATCACATGGACTTCCAAGAGAGATCCACTATGGGCTGTTTCTCTTAGGCTCTTACCACATGGAGATCCACATAGGGCTGTTTCCAAGGGAAGTCCTTTCCTCAATCTATTCCAAGAGAGATCCTCAAAGGGCTGTTTCTCTTAGGCTCTTACCACATGGAGATCCACATAGGGCTGTTTCCAAGGGAAGGGAAGATCCTGTTTTCCTAACCACATGGAGATCCACTAGGGCTGTTTCCAAGGGAAGAGGAACCTCCAAGAGGGATCCACATAGGGCTGTTCCTCTTAGGCTCTAACCACATGGAGATCCACATAGGGCTGTTTCCAAGGGAAGTCCTTTCCTCAATCTAGGAACCTCCAAGAGGGATCCACATAGGGCTGTTCCTCTTAGGCTCTAACCACATGGAGATCCACATAGGGCTGTTTCCAAGGGAAGTCCTTTCCTCAATCTAGGAACCTCCAAGAGGGATCCACATAGGGCTGTTCCTCTCTAACCACATGGAGATCCACATAGGGCTGTTTCCAAGGGAAGTCCTTTCCTCAATCTAGGAACCTCCAAGAGGGATCCACATAGGGCTGTTCCTCTTAGGCTCTAACCACATGGAGATCCACATAGGGCTGTTTCCAAGGGAAGTTCCTACCAATCATCCTCATCATAATACTATCACTCATAACCTCAATCACAATCCTCAACCATTACCTCATTCATTATTGCTACTTCTATAATCATTCCTCAATTACTCTTAAACAATCAAACATCAACCAATAATCATCAATCAATCATAACATGTATCAATGCATGAATCAATGCATGAGCATACAATCACTATCATAATTACATATCACATCTCATAAACCATTTCTCCTCAACGGAGTATGGTGGAACACTCAATGGGATCAACCACAAGGTCCAAAGGTTTACCTTGCTCTTGAGCTTTCCTCAATTGCACACAACCCCAAGGGTTGGTCACTCCACTTGGTCCTCTTGCCTCAATCCTATCAACACAAGGAATACAATCAAACAATGCTAACAATGCAAGGAAATCCATAGTTCCAAGCCTAGATTTCTCCAAACATCAAAGCATACTAAAATAACACTATAAACTCATTTCTACCGATTAAATGTCATTCCTAGCATTTTTCACAACATACTCTAAGCCTCATTCTTCCTTGAACATAGCCAATCTACTCAACATTTCATAAAAACCCTAAAACACTATTCATTAACCCTAAACTCATGCAAATCTCCAAGAATCATGTGAAAGAGAGTGGAAACTTACCACCAATGATCACACAATAGAGGAATGAGTGTTCCTCAAGCTTCCATGGAGGTTGAAACCCCCAAAACCCCAAAATCTCACAAAGGGCCGAATTTTTGAGGGGCAATATCCCTCTCCACAATGCTCCCCACTCAAAACTAAGCTTGGATTATGAAAGAGGGGAAGATTTAGAGTAGTTTAGGCTTTTGAATCACCCAAAACGGTTAAGTTTGCTCTCTCTCTCTCTCTCTCCTCCCTCCTTTCCCTTCTTCTTCTTTCTCCTTCTTCCTTTCCTCTTCTCTGATGCTCGACGGGTTGCTTGGGGGGGTTTGGGTTCTTTTGTGTTCTTTATCACTTAACATTGGTTAAGTGAAATAATGCGGGTATTAGTTCGTCTATCTATTCAACTCCATTAATTACCAAACTTTACCCAAAAGTCTGGAATATTATTCTAGGAATATTTATAATTTTATTTTTATATTTTGGGCACTTTTGCCATTTAGTACCCATTTATACCCCTTAATTTTCACTGAGTACACTTTTTAACTCCAAAGTGACTCAGATTCATTTAATTAAGCCTTATACTTAATTTTACTCACTAAAACATGATTCTTAATCTTGAAGCTATTCATCTCACATTGGAGCAAAGTCCCATGCTCTTCAGAATCCTGGCAGAATGAGAGAATGATGGTGTCAATTGACATCTCTACAACCGCAAAGAAAAGAGTAGCAACAATATATCCAAGAGCCCAGCAAACCTGCATTACACAAAAAAAAAAAAAAAATGAGGTTCTGATAATCATTTACAATTCAACATTAAAGGGTGAATTAGTATACTTTTTTTTTTTTTTGCAACTATTTTCCAGCTCTTCATCCTTTTAACTAACAAGCTATCCATTATGATAAAGTTGAATGCATAAAGTTAATCTTTCACTCAGTGGTGCAGAGCCACAGATTTAAGTGCTCAAGGGGAAAGAAAAACACCTTCTGTAAATATCTGTAGGCTACAACACATTGACTAATGTAAGACCAAAATGGTTGAATCAACATCAGCTTATTTGAAAACTATGAATAATAATGAATCATTTATCTGGAACTGAAACCTATAAAGTTCATATAATAGAACACATTATAATATTTTACCAACTATTCATCTAGATGAGAATCTACACTTTTTACCCATTAAAAAGTGAACTACCATCTTTTATGCTTTTGTTAAACCGTAGTTGATCTTCAAGCCCTACTCTTTTAATTAGATTATAGAAAACATACCATGACAGGCAAGAGCGGAGAGGAGATCTTGTTATGCGCATCTCTGTACTTGTGTGTTTCCAACATGATGAAAGCAAAAACAGCACTTGAGAGGCTGACACACAGTTTTCCAAGAAACAAAATAACATCTCCAATCACATTGACACGCCCAATCCGTAGGATGTTATTCATGATCAACTCTGTTGCAATAACTGAAGCTTTAAAGAAACTTTTACCAGTTATAGCAATCTGCAGGTTTCAAGCAGATACTTGAGTAGTTAAATGCAGAAAGACATAAAATATGAAAGCAAATTGAATTAACAGAAAAGGATGACACATTGAATCAAGTAAAAAAAGTATGTAAAAGCAATATACTAAGTAAAATTAGAAAGACTCATTGAACATAAGTAACTAAATTCTAAAATAATACTCTCCAAGAAAAGTTTAAAGCAAATTCATGTTTTAGGGAAGGGGGTTTGACAGGAAACATTTGAATGCCACAAGTATAGATAGATGGTAAAAATTAATACTTAGTAGATAATTTTTTAGTAAGCCTCAACTCTATTTGTCATCACTCTTCTATTCTTTATCCAGAAATATACCCACATTTTCTCTATGCAACTTGTGCTAGAATACTCCTCTGGTAACTGGATAACAACTAGCCATTCTCTAATGTTCAAGTGCCCAAAAGGACATGACAGGAAGTTTATTGAGAAAAGAGAGAAAAAGTTGAGTTTAGGTTAATCATGAAAGTCTATATACTATTTAACATGTCAACCTTTTTTTGGAAAAAATGTTTTGTCCCCTATTTTGAAGTATACTTTACAGAGATCCATATGCAATCCAGCCTCACCCAAACTTGCTGATCACAAGGCAAAAAGTACATTAAAACGGGATCTTCCTTCTATTAGTCCTTAATATATCCTTATTTGTTACAAGAATAATTGCTCCAAAATAATAAGCATATATCTAACCGCATGATGCATGCATAAATGATTTGTGGCACATCAACAAAATTTTACCATGATGTAAGCATTTCGGTTCACTGATTTGATGGTCCACTCAATACACCTAAGAAAACATTGAGAAGATTGGTATGCAGCGTTGCCAATCCAGCTGTCAGGCATGTGACTGGAGACTTTTAGTTTACGGCGTACAGATTCAAGTAGAAAATGGATTGATTCTACAAATGATACAGTCAGAGAGCCAAGAGCCACAGAACCTAGACTGTAACGCATAAGCCTCTTCATGGAGGAAACGACTGAAACAAAAGGAATTTCTGGCTGCATTGAGAAAGATGAATTATATTTAATAACATATATAGATATTTTTAACTATCAAAAGATAATTGTTTAATTAATTGATAATACAATTCAAATCAGCCAAACAAACAAGTACCAACAGTTTTCCATTTTAATCTGAATTCGATATTTTAAGATTATGAAGCATGCAATCTAGTTAATGTTGGGTATGGCTCATACTTCACATGATGATGTTGGCCCTAATTGTCGGGGTCAGCAGAAAGGCAAGTGGGCCCATGAATAGCTGCTGTTAGGGTTTCTTGTAATCCTATTTATATTTGCCTTGTAAACCGAGAGACTTGTAACGAGTGGCGGTGAGGTGAATATAGTACAGACAAGCTGGACGTAGCCTATATTGGGTGAACCAGGGTAAATCATCGTGTCAATCTCTCTACTCTTATCTCTTTTTCTGTTTTCTCGATTCTGTGTGATTTTCGATTTCCAACAATTGGTATCAAGAGCTTTGGTTCTGCGACCAGGGTTCCTGTGACAGATTGGGGTTTCGCGATTTAGGGTTTTTTCTTGGCATAGATAAAACTGCGAAATTGATCTGGAGAGGATGTCGACTGGCCAATCACGGGTCGAGGTTGAAAAGTTCGGAGGAAAAGGGTTCGAGTTATGGAAGCTGAAGACGGAGGCTCTGCTCGTTGACAGGGACGTGTGGTACGTGATCGAAGATGATAAGCCGTCCGTACCAACAAAACCTGTCGGTGAAGAAACGTCAGGTGATGGCGAGTCGAAGGAGTTGAAGGCGTGGACCAGAGACGATCGAAAGGCTCGAAGCCTGATCTGGTTATGCCTGGCTGATAACGTTCTGGTGAACGTAACTTCTGAGAAGACCGCGAAGGATCTCTGGACGAAGCTGGGAAGTCTCTATCAGAGCAAGTCACTAGTGAACAAGCTGTTCCTGCGAAGGAGGATGTATAATCTGCGGATGAGCGAAGGTGATTCTTTCTCTGCTCATTTAAATGAATTTAATACTATTTGTGCACAACTTTCGTCTATAGACATTAACCTGGACAAGGAAGACAAAGCTTGCACCTTGTTGTGTTCACTGCCCAACTCTTGGGAGCACATCATTGTGTCAATTGGTACTAGTGTTAATAAACTGTCGTTTGAGACGGTTGTTGCTGCCTTATTGTCTGAGGAGATGAGAAGGGTAGGTTCTGAAGGTACCAACAATGAGGCTCTGGTTGCTAGAGGGAGGAGTGATGACAAATCAAAGTCTGGTCACAGAGGAAGATCGAGGGGACGATCAAAGTCCCGTGATAAATCTGAAATGAGGTGTTGGAGGTGCAAAAAGGTTGGACATCTGAGAAGGAATTGCAGAAGTAAAAGTGTAGGTCCTGAGAAGCGGGATGACTCACAACCGTCTGCTTCGGGTACAAAGAAGGATGATGATGATAGTACAGGGGACCTGTACATGGCGTTTGACAGTCATAATGACTGTAATGATTGGATTATTGACACTGGAGCATCGTTTCATATGACACCTCATAGGGAGTGGTTCTGCACCTATGAATCGTATTCTGGCGGTACAGTTAGAATGGGAGATGACACGACTCATGCAATTGTGGGACGTGGGAAGGTAAAGCTGAAGATGAGTGACGGGACAGTCAAGAATCTGCCGGGTGTGATGCATATTCCGGGGCTTACCAGAAATCTGATCTCCGTTGGTAGTATGGCAGATGCTGGTATTAATTTTAGCAGTGACAAGTATTCTTGCAAGATGACTCGAGGAGCTTTGGTTATTGCAAGAGGAGAGCGTCATGGTAAATTGTGGAAACTGCTGGGTAGCACAGTATTCAGTGGTGAAAGCTATGTTTCAGAACAGGCGGAGGAGGACACTGCTATGTTATGGCATAGGAGGCTGGGGCATATTGGAGGAAAAGGTCTGGAGACTCTAACATCAAAGAAGTTGGTGGATGGAATTCCGAGCTGCTCTATGGGGTTTGGATTTTGCGAGCATTGCCTGCAAGGGAAGCAAAATCGGGTATCTTTTGATTCCATAGGAGGAAGAGCTGAGGGGGTTCTGGACTTGATACACAGCGACGTGTTTGGCCCCACACCTGTAGCATCACATGGAAAATCAAGGTATTATGTTTCTTTTACTGATGATTTTTCAAGATATGTGTCGTTATATTTCTTGCGCAGCAAGGATGAAGTGTTCGATAAATTCTGCGAGTTCAAGGCTTTGGTGGAAAATCAATTTGATCAAAAAATCAAGGTGCTGAGAACTGACAATGGAGGGGAGTTCTGTTCAACAAAATTTGACCAGTTTTGTGCGAGCAATGGGATTGTAAGACAGAAGACTACGCCCTACTCACCTCAACAGAATGGGGTGGCAGAGAGGTTGAATCGATCTCTCATGGAGAAAGCACGGAGTATGCTGAGCGGTGCAGGCTTGGCAACTGAGTTTTGGGCAGAGGCAGTGGCTACTGCTTGTTATCTGAAGAACAGATCTCCTACATCAGCTTTGAAGGAGAAGACTCCGTATGAAGCACTGTTTAAAAAAAGGCCAGACGTATCTTATATCAGAGTGTTTGGCTGTGAAGCTTATATGCACGTACCCAAGGAGAAAAGAAACAAGCTTGACAGTAAATCTGAAAAGTGTATCTTTATTGGGTACAAGGATGGCGTCAAAGGTTATAAGTTGTGGAATCCGGATACTAGAAGTGTAACTTACAGCAGAGACGTTGTATTCAGAGAATCTAAGTTGAATCAGATTTTTCCTGAAGCTCCTGAAAAGTCACAGACGGTGGAGTTGGATGTGGGTTTGAAAGAGGATACAATAAACTCACAGATTGAATTGGAAAATTTGAATTCTGAAGCTGCTGAATATAATGAGGTAGAGGATGAATTTTCTGAAACTGAGGCTGAGGTTGAAGCACCAGTGGTGAGGAGATCCACGAGGGAAAGAAGACCATCTGAGAGGTATACACCTGAAAATTATATCCTGTGTGCTAGTGATGATGTTTGTGCATTTAGTATTACAGGTGATGATCCGAGCACTGTAAAACATGCGAGGAGCTCGGAGGATGCCAAACAGTGGGAGGAAGCTATGAAAGAAAAGATGAAGTCTCTGATGAAAAACCAAACTTGGAGTTTGGTGAATCTACCTGCAGACCGAAAAGCAATTGGTTGCAAGTGGGTGTTCAAGAAGAAGGTTGGTGCCAATGGGGAGATTGAACGCTACAAGGCTCGATTGGTTGCAAAGGGATATTCATAGACAGAAGGGGTTGATTATGGTGAGGTATTTTCACCTGTTGCAAAGTTAAATTCCATAAGACTGGTTTTGTCTGTAGCAGCTGCATATGACCTAGAGGTGGAGCAGCTGGATGTGAAGACAACTTTTCTTCATGGTGATTTGGAGGAGGTTATTTTCATGAAGCAACCAGAGGGGTTCATTGCAAGAGGCAAAGAGGAGCTAGTCTGCAAGCTGAATAAATCTCTGTATGGCCTGAAGCAGTCCCCAAGGATGTGGTACATGAAGTTCGACACTTATGTGCTGAAGCTTGGCTTTGACCGTTGTGATGCTGATCACTGTGTTTATGTGAAAAGGTTAGAAGGTGACTTTGTTATTCTAACTTTGTATGTTGACGACATGTTACTCGTTGGAAACAGTTTGAAAATGATCAGCACTGTTAAAGGACTGCTAGCAAAGCAGTTTGAAATGAAAGATCTAGGCGCTGCAAATGTGATCTTGGGTATGCAGATTAAGAGGGAGCGTGACAAACGAAGATTATGGTTAAGTCAGCAGAAGTACATAGAAGATGTTCTGAAGAAATTCAAGATGACTGACTGCAAGCCTGTGTTGACTCCCATGTCTACTGGTTCTAAGTTATCGGCTGACCAGTGTCCCAAGACTGAAGAAGAAAAAGAAGATATGGCGTCAGTTCCTTATGCTAGTGCAGTAGGGAGTCTGATGTATGCCATGATTTGTACTCGACCTGATATTGCTCAAGCAGTGGGAGTATTGAGCAGGTATATGTCTAAGCCAGGAAATGAGCACTGGACGGCTGTGAAGCGTGTGTTCCGCTATCTTCGTGGTACGTCTGACCTTGGGTTATGCTATGAAGGCGTGAAGGGCTCAAGGGGACAGACATTGTTAGAGCTGAGATACTTTGTGGATGCTGATTGGGGAGGTGACATTGATAGTAGAAGATCTACAAGTGGATATGTTGTTTCTTCATTTGGCGGAGCTATCAGTTGGATGAGTAAGAGGCAGAGCACTGTTGCTTTATCTTCTACAGAGGCTGAGTACATGGCCTTGACACATGCTGTTAAGGAAGCTATTTGGTTACGGAGGTTGTGCAAAGAGCTTGGCTTTGCACAAGGAGAGATGATCGTTGGGTGTGACAATCAGAGCGCCATTTTCTTGGCTAAGAACCCAGGTTTCCATGCGAGGACCAAGCATATCGGCATACAGTACCACTTCATCAGAGAGAAGATTGAAGACAAGGTTGTATTGCTGGAGAAGGTTGACACAAAGGTCAACAATGCTGATTTTCTGACCAAGGCAGTGACTTCGGAGAAGTTTGAATGGTGTACAGATGCTTTGGGATTGAAGAAACATGTGAAGCATTCACCAAGTGGGAGAATGTTGGGTATGGCTCATACTTCACATGATGATGTTGGCCCTAATTGTCGGGGTCAGCAGAAAGGCAAGCCCATGAATAGCTGCTGTTAGGGTTTCTTGTAATCCTATTTATATTTGCCTTGTAAACCGAGAGACTTGTAACGAGTGACGGTGAGGTGAATATAGTACAGACAAGCTGGACGTAGCCTATATTGGGTGAACCAGGGTAAATCATCGTGTCAATCTCTCTACTCTTATCTCTTTTTCTGTTTTCTCGATTCTGTTTGATTGTCGATTTCCAACAGTTAACCCCAAAATAACTAGATAAAATGATAGTCATATTTTAACAATTTATAATCCTACACTGGTACAACTTATACTGATCAAGAAGAATTTCTGAGCCAAATAGAAAACCATGCCCCTGCAAAGGCTGGGATACATATCATTCAATCTTATCAAAGTTCAGTAGTCTTATCTGCATAAAACTCTCCCTGAATCCTGTGAACTATGGAAAAAAATGTTCTATGAATTGTATTATTCATTTCATCTATGAACAAAGTGTTTTGACTTACAGATGCTTCGCCACGGGCCCAATAATAAGATGCAACAGATCCAGCAATCACAGTTGATGAGCTTGCTATGAAAAATTGTGTTGCCCAATAACACCCAAATAGGTGAAAAAGGATGGCAACTCCAATATGTGGTGTGTAACGAATGCTGTATCCACAACAATGATCACAGATCACCTTTTTTTCCATGAGATCATATGCACAGCAGTTAGAGTTGCAGTTATTCTGAACAACCTGACCAGAGCTGAACAAATGGATAGCAGAAGAAATCCAGAACATGTAGAACACAGCGAGGACACCATATGGTATGATCGGAAAAATAATAAGTGCTTTAACTTCTCCTATCACTTTTGCAGCAACCTGTTAGCAATATTTGCATTAAAATCAATTTAATTGATTAACTGTCATAATGGAAAGAATGCAGTATCATCATTTCACAGTACCACATTATGTGCCTATGGGCTAGGTAGGTATGTGTAACAAATTTCTCGAAGAGAAGTTATGAGTAACTTTGTGACAACTAGATGTGAAAACAGTAAGGTTAGATAGGGGTATAGGTCACAGGAGTTATGGAATAAATATTCCATATGCAAGACATATAACACATATCAACAATGAAAATGCTATGGTTTACAACAAAATACCACTGTCAGAGAGGAGGATAAAAGGTTAAGCATCCACTCATTGAATAGTTAAACAAGAACAATGGCTGGTCAAACTAGTATGACCAGAATTCGATTAAGCTGTGTATTGCAGCCAGATGCAAAATTAGCTGTAGCTTTAAAATAAATTTTTTTCCTAGAACAGGGGTGCACATATACTCCAATTGCTCAATCTTAGCAGTCAGCACTCAGTACTCATGGGGTAGGAACACTTTATAAGATAAGCTGAGTTTACCCAGCTGCGCGCATATTTCTCTTGACATTGGATTCGTATTTTCTCTTAATTACTTCAACCACAATTTAAAAAAATAAAATAATGATAGAAAAAGAGGATTTTTTTCAACATTATTGTAACAAAAACTATTTATTTTGTTCTTTTGACACTAAATAATGCTCATTGATTTTTAGGGTAAATTACACATTACCCTCTTATACTTTCATCCTTTTTCAATTAAACAACCCCCCCCCCCCCCCCAAACAACAACAAAAACAAGGTTCTCTCAACTTAGGTTTAATTTGAAAGCATTTTTTCAGTTAACTTTAACAGAAGTTATTGTTTATTTTTGTTGAGATATATAAAATTATTAATTTAACCTCACCCAATAGCTTAAGCTTTTGGGTTGAATTGGTTCTTTACATGGTATCAGAGTCTCAGTGTACCGGGTTCGATCCTCGCCGCCTTTCACTTTCTTTCTAGTGGAATCTCTTTCTTCGCATAGGTAGGTGGGCCTATGCATTGTTCACTCTTCAAGCCCAGTGGGTTCTCGTGTGAGGGGGCGTGTTGAGATATATAAAATCATTAATTTAATCTCACCCAATAGCTTAAGCTTGGGTTGAATTGGTTCTTTACAATTTTACACGTTAGCTTCCAGTGGTTTAACACTTAACCTACCCCATAAAAGTTTATTTTTTATCACCAAACCTCCTACAAAAGATAAACTTTACGAGTATAGATTCAGAAAGTTAAATTGCTGTTGAAGTTAGCTGGAAAGAACTTGAACAACAGTTCAGATGCAAAGAAAAAAGAAAAAAAACTTGAGGGGGTTAATTGAAAAAGTAGAGATAGGTAATGTGTAATTTACCCCAATTTTTGTTTTTTTACCCTTCTTCTGCTATATTCACCAACTTTAAGACAAGAGTAAGCAGATGTATCAATTACTTAAGAGGTTATTAAAAATGCATGACAAATTTGACAATGATTGGAAGTTCAACCTCTGACAAATATTTTTAAGGTTAAAAAATATACATAATTACGATAAGAAATAAATCAATGAACAAAAACAACAAACTTAATCATAGTTTTATATTTGCATATAATAAAGTTATGCTTGCCTTAAGGACAGAAGTTGCCATAAGGATGCGCCGAACAATAGCAATTGATGTAAGAATGGAAACAACCATGATAAAGGTCATAATGACAGTGACAACACGTAGATGAGTCAGCTCCTGAAAAGGAAACCAGTTCGTAAGATTTACATGATAAAATCATCAACACACACACACACACAGAGAGAGAGAGAGAGAGAGAGATCACAGATTTAAGTACTCAGTCACAACGATACTTACCCTCCCAAATATATGAATGTAAGGATCATGCTCACCAATAATGGGGGAAATAGCATCATTTCCTATCCATCCAACTGAAAGTCAGAAAGACAACATTAACTCAGCTTTATTGTGTGATTGATGTTTGCTCAAAATCTAGAAAAAGATAAATAAAAATATTTGGCTAGATAATTCAAAGTTACATAGAAAGGATAATAGGTTTCAACTAGAATCAGCAAAGTACACCATGCATGCAAACAAATTATTTTCACTGTTTCCAATCCCCAAACTGCATAAAAGAACGAGGATAAGATCTAGATCATTTCCAAGTCCCAAAGAATGACTCCTCTATCAAAATACAAACTCAAAAAAATTCAAAAATTAAACCATATCATCAAACAATTTTTGACATTCCAAATTCCAATATTTAGTAAAAGAAAATACATTACAACCAAAATGTTCAGTGCTTTCCAAATGGCCCCTGCCTCATGCCATAAGTCATATATTTTACCAAAAACATGTCTGGAACAAAGCTTGTGTTCGGCCCAGAAGTTCCTTTTCAATTTTTATTCTAAATTGTTACACAAACAGGTCCGTGTTAAGTGTCTAACAATAGGTTTGCAATAAGTGTCAAACTTAACACGAAACCAGAGAAGTGTTGTGTGCTACTGTGCATGGTTGGATATATGAGAGGATGCAAATGTATAGTTGATGCAAGTGTATTTATTAAAATGGTAATCTCAAAAATGAATAGGCCATGCAGCTGACAAGGAATCAAACGTCAAATACATAGAAAGGAAGAATGAAATATACAATAAAGGAGTATTCACATTTTGGTCGTCTTCTGTCTAGTGGTATTTCCTTAAAAATACATTTGGATCACAATTAGCCTGCCAGAGATCCTAACCTTTTAGGTAGTAGAGCATTGTTACTGATACTATTAGAACATTAAAGAAAAACACCGTTATCCAAGGCATTGCAGCAACAAAATGCCGAATCATCAGCAGCCAAATCACAGACAGAAACAGAGGTAAAATCCCTCCACAAACAATCAGCACAGGCCATGCCTTTCCTACGTCGGCCATGTATCTCTGCAAATAAAAGTGATTGTGAAACATCAAAATTCTACAGCACATAATACACATAATGTTTAGTGACAGGGCATATGAAATAGTAAAAGCAAAGTTTCAAACAAGTATACTTAGAGTGAAAATACAAGAAGTGAAGGAAAGGATAAGTAAAAATAGCTAACATATTCTATTAATTGCATTTTTACCCTTACCAAGAACATTATGAAGTATCAATTAGTTAGGGGCTTGTTATAAAAGGTTTAACAAAAACAAGGACTTAAAAACTTTAAATAGTGTGCTGCTTTGCTATCCTAGCAGTATATCATTTTTGCGGAATGTTCATATTAGGGGTGCTTCCTTGGGTTGGGTTCTCCAAAATTGATCTCAGGTCAGGTTTCCACCAAATAAGAGTTAGAGAAGAAGACACATAAAACAGCCTTTCAAACGCATGATAGGCATTAGGAGTACCTAGTTATGCCATTTGGTCTCATGAATGCTCCATCCAATTTCCAATCAACTGTGAATTATGTTTTCCGACCCCTACTTAGATGACATGTGCTAAACTTTTTTTTATTATATCTTGATATATATATAGCCCTTCTGAGAGACAGCATCTAGTTCATTTAGGAAAAGTTTTGGAATTGCTGCTACAAAATTCGCTTTGTTACCATGAAAAGTGTCTTTTTGGTCAACAATTAATGGAGTACTTAGCCCATATTATCTCTTCAACCGGACCATGGATCCTTCCAGGGTTTAATGTGTATTGGATTAGCCTGTGCCTAGTAACTCCAAAGGGGTGCATGGATTCGTAGGTCTTATGGAGTATTATAGGCGTTTTATTAAGGACCATGGAAAAATGTAAAGAACCAATTCAACTTAAAAGCTTAAGCTGTTGGGAGAAGTTACATTAATGGTTTTATATATCTCAACACGCCCCCTCACACGAGAGCCCACCGGGCTTGAAGAGTGGACAATGCACAGGCCCACCTACCTGTGCGAACAAAGAAATTCCACTTGAAAGAAAGTGGGGGGCGGCGAGGATCGAACCCGGGACACGAGGCTCTGATACCATGTAAAGAACCAATTCAACCCAAAAGCTTAAGCTGTTGGTGAGGTTACATTAATGGTTTTATATATCTCAACAAAAAAATAGCCCAGCCACTTACAGAACTGACAAAGAAGATGGGATATCATGGAACGACAAGGACCAAAGGGCCTTCGATACACTGAAACATCACCTCATTTCTTCTCCTGTATTGGCCCTACTTGAATTTTCAAAAGAATTCATCATCGAATGTGATGCTTCATGGGTGAAGAGGAGTTTTGATGCAAGAAGACCTTTAGCTTTGTTAGAAATATTAGAATAGGAAATATTAGATATGATTTGATTTGATTTGATTAGATTAATTCCTATCTGTAAATATTATGGGCTTCTCACTTAAGCCCATTAGGGTCTCTATATATTGTAACTCTTTGTATTAGATTAATACACAATTGAATACAATACACATTATTACTTTCAAGTTGGTACCAGAGCTTACATTTTGGGAAACCTCGCTTCTGCATAAAACCCTTATCTCGCCGTGCATCATACCGGCAACCCTTTTTTAGCCTTAACCCTTAATTAGTCACCAAATATTTAGCCTTAACCCTAAAAAGTCAGAAACCAGCCTCCTCAACCTTGAATAGTCAGAAATCAGCCTCTGTTTGCCGTCGGAACCGCCGTTTGCTACTGTTCACGGTCACCGGAGAATTTATCGGGCGACGATTTCAACCGGAAAACCTGCGATCAGGCTCTCCTTCCTCCGGCGACCAACACTGTGGAAAGCCCATCACCGGCGGCCAACTCACGCGCCCTCACGCGCGGGTGACCTCCTCTGCGCGTGGTCCTCACGCGCCGCCTCTCACCAGCGCGTGAGCACTGTTCCGGTGACTTTTTGCGACCACTCCAGGACAGAACAGCTCACTTTCCTCCCCTCTTCCCAAATCTGGTCTTCGTTCGTTGTGGGTCTCGTCCTTTCAGAAGATATCAGTGATTCTTTGCTCTCTGTTCGTTGTCCGTAGTGCTGGACCTTTTTATTTAATTCTGCGTTATTTTTTATCTGGTAATCTGTGTTTATTTGGTCTTTTTATCTGGTTATCTTTGTTTATCTGGTCATCTTTATTTAATTTTTTGATGGAGGGCGCATCCAAAAACATTACTGGAGTCATCTCCAGTACTACCCCATCCATTACAACAATGAAACTGACCGGATCTGCTAATTACAAGACCTGGTCTACCTCAGTTAAGATCTGGTTTACTGGTCAGGGGCACGGTCAACATTTTGCAACTAAGTCTGCCGATATTTCAAAAGATCAGACATCTGAATGGGACAAGATTGATGCTTAACTGCTAAGTATACTTTGGCAGTCCATTGATATGACGTATGGGAAGAAGCTAAAAACCTCTACACTAATGACATTCAGCAGCTTTATTCAATTGTGTCTCAGAGAATGGAATTGCGCAAATCTCCAAGAGTCTCGAATGGAAACTTATATTGATAAGATTCGTTCTTTGATGCAAGAATTCTTAGCTATGTTACCTCATGCTGCAGATGCCGCTGCGTACAAGAAGCAGGTGGAGCGCTTCTTTATGGTCGTAACCCTCCCCGGTCTTTCCGAGGAGTTAGAAAGTGTTCGTGAGAATATTCTAACCTATCACACACTTTCCAGCGCCTTCTGAATCTTAAGGACAAATCAACAGCTCCCACACATGTGCCAGCTACCGATTCCACTGCATTCTTTTCTCGCTCAAATGATTCCAATTGGAACAGTGGACACAGTCGCAGACGTGGCCGTGGACAGAGGCCTCATTGCAATTATTGCCAAAATCTTGGACATTTTGAAGAACGCTGCTACAGGAAGTACCCTCACTTGAAACCATCAACTGTCAACTTTGTTCAGACTGATGTTACACCACCTTCTACTGGATCAGTAACTCTTTCAAGTGCCGAATATGAGGCACTTCTCAAGAAGGTTTCCTCTCAACATCCTACTCATTTCTCAATCATCTCTTGGACCCTGGATAATAGACTCAGGTGCTACTCATCACCTTTGTGGTAATAAGGATCTTTTCACTTCACTTTCTTATTCTAATAACTTACCCTCTGTTATTCTTGCTGATGGAACTAAGGCTCCTGCTCGTGGAATTGGGGAAGCCAACCCAACTCCCTTTTTAGCTTTGAACTCTGTTTATTATATACCTGGCATTCTTTTAATTTAATCTCTGTTAGCCAGTTGATTCAGTCTTTTTCATGTATTGTTACCTTCTCTAAACAATCCTTTTCTACGCAAGATCCGGATACGGGGAAGACGATTGGAACGGGCATTGAGTCATGAGGTCTCTACTATCTGATTGCACCACCTTCTCCAGTAGTATGTTCTCTCACAGAGTCTCCTGAGCTAATTCACAGTCGTCTGGGTCATCCAAGCTTCAGCTTATGGTTTCTTTTTTATCCAGTCTTAAGTCTTTAAATTGTCAGTCTTGTCAGCAAGGAAAGCACACTCGCTCCTCCTTTGCTAATAGAGTCAATAAAAGAGCTGATGCTCCCTATCTATTGTTCGTTCTGACATTTGGGGTCCAAGTTGAACAATGTCTGTTTTGGGTTTTCAGTATTTTGTCACCTTTATTGATGATTTCTCTCGTACTTGGGTTTATTTAATGAAAAATCGTTCTGAATTATTTTAAATTTATCAAAAAATTTGTGCTGAAATAAATACTTAATTTGGTGCTTCTATTCAAATCTTGCGCAGTGATAATGCAAAAGAATATGTGTCTCTTGAATTTTCTAATTTTTTGGAGAAACGTGAGACGTTACACCAGACTACTTGCCCACACACTCCACAACAAAATGGAGTGGCTGAACGTAAAAATATACATTTGGTTGAAACTGCACGTACCCTACTAAATCACATGAATGTTCCACTCTGTTTTTGGGCAGATGCTATAATCACCTCTTGCTTTCTCATCAATCGCATGCCCTCTTCCGTACTTAATAATGAAGTTCCATATAGTGTTTTATTTCCAGGAGCACCTTCCTATCCTCTACCTCCACATGTATTTGGATGTACGTGTTTTGTTCATGATCTTACTCCAGGTAAAGATATGTTAACATCCAAAGCTTTCAAGTGTATTTTCCTTGGATACACTCGTTTTCAAAAGGGCTATCGTTGCTACTCTCTTGATCTCAAGCGTTATATTGTTTCGGCTGATGTCACTTTCCTTGATCAACAACATTTTCATTCTATCCCGTCTCAGTTAACACAAGTTGATCATGTTCTTCCTGTTCCTTGTCATGATTTGTCTTTACCAGTTGCAAGTGACTCTATCCCGGAGGAGCTACCCCTTACCTCCATCCCTGAGGACCGTCCTTTTCTCACCTATCAGCGTCGTCAGCCTGTTCCTCCAGCAGATTTGACCCTTACTGACTCATCGCCTGCTCCGGTTGACTCTTCCCCTCCGGATCCTCCATCAGAGATTACTCTCATTGCCCTTCGCAAAGGTATTCGATCCACTCGCAACCCTCATCCATTTTATAGTTTCTTAAGTTATGATAGACTTTATTCACCACATTTTACTTTTGTTTCTAGTATTTCCTCTGTTTCTATTCCTAAAACCACAGGTGAAGCACTATCTCATCCGTGTTAGCGTCAGGCGATGATTGATGAAATGCAAGCACTTCACTCCAATGGCACCTGGGAACTTGTTCATGCTCCTCCCGGAAAGTCAGTAGTCGGCTGTCGATGGGTATTCACTGTCAAAGTTGGTCCTGATGGCACTGTTGATCACCTCAAAGCTCGTTTGGTGGCCAAAGGATACACTCAGATATTTGGTCTTGACTATGGGGATACTTTTTCTCCTGTTGCCAAGATGGCATCTGTTCGCCTATTTCTTACACTTGCTGCCATTCATCAATGGCCCCTTCTACAGCTTGATATCAAAAATGCTTTCTTACATGGTGACTTGCAAGAGGAAGTATATA